ACATTTTAGTGAAGAAATTTTCAGATCACAAATATACTCACAGTAATAGTGTAAGATCAAAATGGGAATAACAAGTCAGTATCTGTCCCCTTTCTTGTCACTAGACTAAGTTAAAGGTAACAATCACAGGTTACAAACAAAGCAAAACAAAAAAACAAAAAAAAAAAAAGGGGGGGGGAGGAAGACTGACAAAACTATCCTTGATAGTGACTCTGGTGACATCAGAACACAGTGGTTACAAGCTAGTGAAGCAGAGCCACAATGTTTTGGATCTAGGGCCTCACTCTATAGCCAAACCCAGAGGAGATGAAAGAGAAGATGCCCAAGGATGTAATCTCCTCAGTATAATATGTGGTTCTGATGAGAGTCACTCCAGTATCATAAAGAAACTAGACAGGATATGAAGATTGGGGGGTATCATATGTGAATGCATGATATGAAGAACTTGGCTATACTTTTTCTTATCTGCAAATGAATTATGCCAGAAAGGTGTCAAGCTAAAGGCTAGAGAGATGGTTCAGAGGTTGAGAGCATTTGTTGCTCTTCCAGAGGGCCCAGGTTCAGTTCCAAGGACTCACATGGTGACTCAGAACCAGTCATAACTCCAGTTCCAGAGGATCTGATGCCCTCTTCTTGACTCCATGGGAGCCAAGAATGCATGTAGTTAGTACACATCGATACATATAAGCAAAACATTAACACACAAAATAAATCTTTAAAAAGCAATTTTAAAAATTTAAAGGTGTAAAACTGAATCTTTTTTAAGAATGATTTGGGTTGTGAGAATTGAACTAAAACGTGTAATGATTTGAAAGTACAGAAAGATATATGATCACAGCATACCCTTAAGCCTATATGACTGATAAAATTTTAAAAATGTCACCCATTTCAACAACTGGTTCATTATTAGGGAATTATGTTTGAAATGGTACTGTATTGGAGGTCATTTCTACTTACATTTTTACTTTTGTCCACATGTATTTGTGAAGAATCCTTTACCATGTATTTTCCTGTTGCTATGAAAAAATAGGCTAAAAAAAGGCAACTTAAGGGTTTATAAAAAGCTTATAGGGTTCAGTCCATCTTGGCAGGGAAGAACTAAAGGAAGCAGAAGCTGACACAGCTGGTCATACTGTATTCATTCTACTTACACAGTCCAGGGCCCCAAGCAGAGAATGGTATCACCAACAGTAGGCAGTTCTTCCTATCTCAGTAAACGCAGTCAAGATAATCTCCCTTAGATAGGCCCAGAGGCCCATCTCCCAGGTGACTGTACATTCTGTCAAGTCAACAATTACACTAACTGTTGTAATCCAGGCAAATCTGGACCCGCCTCTCACCCACCTATGCATGGCAGGTGTATGTACCCTGGCTCTTTAAAAGAAAGATCCATCCACTTCTGCTCCCCTGCACACCCCCCTCCTCTGAAGAGCAGACAGGACCTTTCCTGTCTTACCCCTTCTCTTCTATCCTGTCTGTGTGTCTTTTTATCTCTTTTCTCTTCCCTTCCTTTATTTTCTTAGCTTCCCCTCAATATGAGTCACATCTACAGGTCTCTGCTTCCCATCTGCCCGCTGTCTATCTCCTGCTGCACCTCAGGATTGGGGACCTAAGACATGAGGTCCCAACAGGAGCTGCTTTATTCCTGACACTAACCATCACAAACTAGAATGTAAATAGCTATTTAGTTGTTTGGATTTTTCTTTTAAGTGCATAATCCTTCCTCAATCTGGTCCTAATTTAGAAAGAAAGAAAGAAAGAAAGAAAGAAAGAAAGAAAGAAAGAAAGAAAGAGGTGACAAAAGAGGAAGGCCTTGGCTGAGAGATGTTTCAGTAAAGTGCTTGTTGTGCAAGGACTAGATCTGAGCTCCTATTCCCAGAACCCACATAAAAAGCCAGGCATGATGGGCTCAGGTCTGACATCCTAGTGATGGCAGTGGAGACAGGAGGATCAGGTTGCTGCCCAGTCAGTCTAGCTGGGGGAGGGGGGGAAGGAGGAAGAGAGGAAGGTAGGAAGGGAGGGAGAGAGAGAGAGAGAGAGAGAGAGAGAGAGAGAGAGAGAGAGAGAGAGAGAGAGAGAGAGAGAGAGAGAGCAAACCGAGCTCTAGTTTCAGGGCAAAAACCAAAAAACTTTCAGGTGGAGCAATAGAGGAAGTCACCACATGCCCTCCTCTGGTAAGCATGATGTGAGTGTGTGCATGTGAATGCTTATCGTTTCCTGAGGCCCTGAGCCCAATCTCCAGTACCACAAAAGGAAGGGGAAGGAAAAGGAATGATGGAGAGGGAGAAGACAAGATGAATCAGGCAGGTCTGTGTAAAAGAAAACTAAAATGTGAGGGGAAGACAGTCATATACAATGTCTAAACATTTTAGTATATGCTGGAGAGACAGCAACATGCAGTCAGCAATTCTTCAATTTCAAAATAAACTTTTATGAGTCCTGTAAAACAAACCCCTTTCTCAGGAATGTCCATAAACTCTGCAGTATTCTGTAAAGATTCTACCAAGTCTATTCCTCAGACTCTTCGTAAGGGTCCCACAAGCAATGAACAAACTGTTAGGAGATTTGTCACCTATTTCAGGCTCACTGCCTTCTTACCATAAATCAGTTAATTTGCCTCTTTGAGGTGACTTGCCTGCTTCTTCTCTAATAAATAATATCCCATTCTGTGCATACACATTTTGTTTATGTTTTGTTTATTCATCTGTTGATGAACATTTAGGTTACTACTTCTATCTTTTAACTTCATTTTGGCTTTTTAAAAACTGCCCCCTCCAAAAAACAACCTGCATATTTATGGTGCATAACTATTTGATAGATGTATACAATATAAATCTATTTAAACCATCCCACTTAACATATCCACCACCTTATCTACTACCTTTTTTTATGAGTATTAAATCTCTTTTAGAAATCTTAAAATAACATTATATACTAATACATATTACATAACACAGCTGAATCATTTTTGTTTTAGAGCCAGAGTCATACTATGTAGGCCAGGCTGACCTTGAACTCAAAGTGAACCACCTGCCTCTGTCTTCCGAGTGCTGGGATTACAGCACTCCTGGCTCATAGCTGAATCTTAAGAAGCAGGCTCTATGTTCTACTCATGTAAGGTACCTAGAGTGGAGATTCTTAGAGAAAGGGAGTAGAACAGAGGTTACCAGGGGATAGGGAAAGAGTGAATGCAGAGTGGGTGCTACATGTGTACAGGGTTTCTGTGAGTTCACGGTAGACTCTACAAATGGATAGTGGTGATGGTTACATAACTGCCTTATATAATTAAAACTAACCCAAAGAGTGCATTTTAGAGTGTGTGTGTCCACAATAGAGAGAAACAATGATCTCTTCTGACCCACCATCATGGCTGAGTTTTAGCAAAGCCTACTGGTATTCAACTAAGAGAACTATGAGAATCACATCTACTGTTTTAATTACCAGCTGTGACTCAGCACTTTTTCTTGGCTTCACAACAGTAACTACCCAGTGGAATTCATGCTAAGGGAGAGGGACCTGCAATAAAGTGGTCACAGTCTTACCAAAGTCCTCTACTTCCATTTCTCAGATTGATTTTTCCCTCACCACTCTCCCTTTGAAAGGAAGCATTAGTGACGTTTACTTATCTGTAAGTAACAGAGGTTGTATTCTGAAGTAAGTCAAAAATCTCCAAGAATAAATATATTCCAACTCTCTTAAAGTCATGTTGCAATAACTGTCTTGTGACACCCTGGTCCAAACATATAATAAAGCTGTGCAATCATTTTATTTCCCCATTTGGATGGCAGTCCAAAAACTCAGCTGTAATATCAAATCTGGAGGAACTGCATTTAAAAATCCTAACAGTTATTCTGAGTTAACTGTTTTCATTTTTAAAGCAATGTCTTCCTCCCTGAAACCATGAGGCAAACAGAATGAAACTGATCACTGGCCAGATGGTAAGTACGAAGGAACAGAATAGACTATAGTCATAAGAAAGCTCAGGTATCCAAAGCTCATCCGAGATGAAGGTGTCCCTCCTTCCACTACTGTATCCCACTGTACCCACTGCAAAGCTATCTGCAAGGACCTTTCTGCCTGGCTTAACTGGGAAAGTTATAAGTTTGGCAAATGAAGGGAAAGAGAGAGTGACAAGAGACACAGAGACAGAGAGAGAGACAAAGACAGAGAGAGAGAGACCAAATGCAACTAAATTAAATCTAACTCAAGCAAGGCAAAGTACCTGGAAATACTGCCTCAGTTTACACAGATATCTCATACTAAAGAACAGGGAACAGATATAGTTTGGTTCGTATATACAACAGAAAAATGGTGATCATAAAACTAGTAAAAATATATTAAGCAAGAAAATATTCCAATGAAAAAGCACTGGCGACTCTATTTATTCCTTTATTTATAAAGGGGAAACAAATCCTTCAATGTTTTGACTACTAGTCTTCCTCCAAAGAAATCTTCAAAGATACAAGAACTGAACTCAAAGACAAACAGGATTTCCTATTGCATATTTCCACGATAATGCAATTGTTTTTAACTGTTACTCATAAGAAACCATTGCTTCTTAACTTTATTCACAGAAATTGTATTCAACCCAAAATTCAACTTTTTACCACATTTTCTATACAATTATAACATCTAGCTATTAATTTCTAATTATTCATTCATGTCTTGAATACATACCAGGAATACAAGTGTGACACAGCAAAACAGTTCTCCCTCAACCATATGAACTATACACTAGCAATGTTACACTGACAGGATTTCATTCTGAGTTCAAAATAAAATACGAGCAATAAGAAGCAGTGAAAACAGACAAGAGAAAGAAAAATGGTAACATGACTCACAATGGCCTCTCAACGATGAAGCAGTTAGCAGGAGCAAGCTTACAGACCTCCTCGGAGGCAGGCGCACAGGCAAGCAGGCCAGGGACAGTCAGTGGGCTGTACTACTTTGAAGTACAGGGTGGGGCTAATGACAAGAGGGTGACAGGAATGAACACTTACTCAGTCAGTAGCTGGTGGAGCTTGTGGTAACCTCGTTCCAATGCCAGGCTTACAGGCGTTGCCCCTTCCTTGTTGTGGATGCTGAGCGCTCCACGGCCACCTGGCTTCTGTAACAGGAACCATGTCAACCGCAATAGTCCCAGCCGCACGGCAAAATGCATTAATGTTTCCCGGGGTCCACCATCTGTAAATGGGGAATAAACATAAGAATAAATAAACAATAACCACCAACAAAGACCAATGAAACCACCACACTGTTGCCTCCAAGTATCTAGCATCTTGAAGGGAAACTATAGCATACAGCAAACAACTTTTTCCAGGTAAAACCCCCTTTCAAGTAAAAGCAACAAAACTAGAAAGAAACTATGACACAAAATCACAAAATCTTCATTAGGAGACAAATGCCTACAGAGAGAACCAAAATATTTCTGTACCTTTTCAGAGAGGTTGATAAATTGTGACTACATTATGTTCCATCCATAAAAAAAAAAAAAAAAAAAAAAAAAAAACCAATGGCAATAACCAAAGTAAATGCAGTTCCTTTCTTGTGATGGGGCTCTAAGATGAACAGTTGTCAGGAATTAGATGGGTATGCTCTGAAGGGTGTAATTATTTTTTAAAGAACGCTCAGACAGGAGTTGGCTAGTTAAACAGTAAAAACAGGTCTGACTTGTTAAGTACACACAGGTCTTTAGTCCTTCACACTACGGGCATATCAAATTGCTGGCACTACCAGCTTTGTGTTTGTTTAATGAGAAAATGAAATGAATCTTCAGGTACAATGAGACCAACTGTAAGACTACACTAATAAATCTCACCATGTGCTTGAGTTTATTTCACACTGGAAATGAAGGATCCTTTTTTGCATACTGGGTCACTAGAAAGTGGGTAGGATGAGAAAGGGCTTCAGACCAGGCAAAAGTGGGTTCAGTGTGACTGTGCATGACTCACTTGCCTGTCTGACCTTCACTTTCATGTCCTTGGAGCAAGGCATCATCACTTCTCAGAACTGTTGTAACAGAAAAGGGTAGGTGACATGCTGGGCTGATGGCAGGCAAGTAGGGTTCTCACTCATACCAGCTCTCCTCCCTTTCTCTGTTTCTGGCCCTGTTTTTGGGCTTCAAATTACATGTTAGCTTCATTAACAACACTTCTAGCTCATGGTCTTGTGCTGGGCTGTGAAGACAGGCGCTAGGACCAAGGCAGAGATGCTGCCATGACCCCACATGTGACACTACTTATCTCTAGGGGTTGTGTTTTCCTTCCTCCTCTCAGCTTCGCTTCCACCTCTTATTATTAATGGTTTCTGGGTCTTAACTTCGTTACTTAGCATTCTCATACTTCTTGGATGGATCTCAGTGTTTTCCTTGACTCTGAAATCGGCAGATGTGGCTTTACAATGAACTGCAGAGGGTTTTGCAAGTGAGTGAAGTGCCACACAGAAATTGAATCCTCTGGAACAGGAGTCACAGGCAACTAGGAACCACTTGATTTGAGTGTTGGGAACTGAACTCAGGTCTTCTGAAAATATAGTATGAGCACTTAATCATGGAGAGATCTCTCCAGATATCTCTCCAACTGCACTGTTTCCAATACCACTTGTGTTACCTTATGACCAATAGTTTCATTAAAGACAAACTGGTCTTTTTAATACATGGGATCAATTTGGGACTTGCAATGAGCTCAAGCAGGGATGGAGGCTGAAAAAAAAAAAAAATCGATGTCTTGGGGACTGGGGAAAAAAAATAGCTCTAGAGCAGAATGAACATCCATGGGGTCTGGTTCAACACTCAGTACTCTAAAAACTGAACCCCAATCCCTAAAAAGCTCACAGAAAATAATGTTCTTGGAGAAATAATTATGTTTCCAAGCATAAATTTTAGTAAGCACACTCTCCAAAAGTGGCAAGGCCAGTGAGAAAGGCAGAAAGAATTTTCTTTGAGGATTAAACACATCTAACTTGTGCTTTATGCCGTTCACAACACTCTGACAACCTTATCAAAAATACCAAAGCACTAAGCACTTACGGCCAGGAAATATGCAGGTATTTTTTTCAAAGCCAGTTAATTCCAGCCTTATCAGGCAATAGCTCCTCTTCCACTCTTTCTAGTACCTTTGCTCTGAGTCACCACGAGTCTTATGTCACCCCCACTTTTCAATCCCACCCCTCATTTTCTATTATCATTTCAAATACATATAAACTAAAAGGATTATACAATTACCAAATATTCAACTACTTAAGTCCTACCGTCAATGTTCTCCCACCAACCTATGTGCTTTATCAACTATCTTTCCTTCCAGATTCCATCAATCAAACTTAATGTTTGTTCACACACTTCAAAGGAAATTGAAGACATCAGACTGACTTGATGGGTTCCACCAACTAGAATTCAATACATGGTCATAAGGTTAAATGACTATATAGGTATATATAGGAAAATACAGTATAACAGTACAGTCTCATTATGTACCTCTGGATGTTCTAGAACTCACTTTGTAGACCAGGTTGGCCTCAAACTCAAAGAGCTCTGCCTGCCTCTGCTTCCCAAGTGCTGGGATTAAAGACATAGGCACACATCCGGTACACATTTGATACCTGTGTCAAGTCAAACTCCCATTAAAATATAGGACATTATGAACAAAAGTTCCTTTATGCTGTTTTCAATACTAGAGCCAACCACTGCTTTGAATTCTTTGTGGGGCTTGCCTATTCAAAAAGTCCACATAAATGAAATGATAAAGCAAATGTATCATTTGAGACTGCTTCCATCTTTCCTGAGATTTTCCCATACAGCTGCCATGTGGCGTTCTATTTTCTTGTTTAGTAGTGTCACCTCATGTATGTATCTCAGGTTGACTAAAAAAAAAAAAAAAATACTTATTCTTTTCCATATTTCATTGGCTCTTGAGGATTAGGTTCAAAAAGAAAAGGCAAAAATAAAAGGGAGAAAAAGATTAAAATATCAGTTTTATCCAGGCTGTTCTGCTGTAATAGCACAAGAGCTCTAACCTTAACCTCTACCTCTCAGAATGCTTCTCTTCCTTTCATCTCGAGTTTAACTGCAGAGTACTGATAATTCACAATCAACTTTCATTTGCTATGGTTCCTCCACCCATGATTCTTGGTCTCCCTCCTCTTTATTTCAGGGGCTACTGAAACTTTTGTGGGGGATAGGCTGGAGGTGCTGTGGGCACACGGTGGCCAAGGAGCTCCCAGGATCTGCCTGCCTCCACCCCCCACCCCGAGCACTGGTGTTGGAAATGTGAGCCACCACACTTGGCTTTCAACTAAGTGCTGGGATCCAAACTCAGATTGTCATGTTTGTGCAGCAAGGTCTTTACCCCAAGCCACTTCCTCAGCTCTCAACTTCTTGTTTTTAGGTTGCTAGCTAGACTTCCTACCATGTTATTTGGGTCCTTCATCACAATAGAATTCAATTATACCAAGGGAATCAGAATGTTCTTGCAGTATTTCTAAAAATTGCTCTTCATCTTTGCCCTTCTGAATGTTTCTATTCCATGTACAGTTAGGGCCTGAGTTATCTCACAGGACCCATGTTGGTTATGTTCCTTTTTGATCACTGTGTTAATATTTTCTCCCAAAGTCGTGATCAAAATACCTGACAAAACAACTAAGAGAGGCAGGCTAAATTTTGGCTCTTGGTATCTGAAACTTTACCCAGTCATAGCAGGGAAAATGTGGCAGTGAGAGATTGTAGCCAAAGCTTGTTCATATGGCAGCACATAGGGCAGCAATTAGGCCAGGGCTAGAACCAGAAGCAGGTGTCACCTCCAAAGACCTGCCCCTAGTGACCTCTTCTACCACCTAGTCCAAATTGAAAGGCTCATAACCTTAAAAATAGCATTCAAAACTGTGGGGTCATTCTATGTTCAAACTCTAACAACCATACTTAAATGCAAAGGTCTATCATGGTGTGGCTAAACCACAGAAAAGGAGAGCAGAAAGGTCTGTAAGCTCCAACTGCTGTATGCTCTCATGCTGGACATAGTTTCACACAGCTCCCCCAAGCCACATGAAAGCTGATGTACCCAGAAGGCATTCAACCACAATAGGTCTTCTGGAAGACTTTAATCTTTTTCAAGTTACATTTTCTGAATAAACAGCTAGTAGATTCTCTGGATGGTATAATAATCAAGGACTATATGCACTATCCTAGTCTATCAATCTACCCAACAAGCCCTCCTTACAGTCCTATTTTAATCTATAGCTATGAGATTCCAAAGTCATTGTCCTGTCCACTTCCGAGTACTGGCCTAAAAATAAACCTATACATCCACAAGAAGCAATAATCTTTACATTCACAAGGAGTGGAAGCATCCTTAACAGGCTTGGGGCAGAAAATGACCTTTTAAGAAAAATGAGAATTTGCTGTGACAACAACAAGGTCTTGGAGGTAGCAAAACATTTCAGAACTTGAGCCTTCCTGCTGATAGGTACTGCCTGTTTTAGGAATCCATTAATCCTTTGCCAAGGAAGGAGAAAATCCAAAGCAATCTTTCTGTTTTATTCTTTTCTTCTTTAACGGAGAAGATAACTGGAAAAACACAAATACTAGTATAACAAAGACATCAAACACTCTGAAAGGGCTATAGGAACTATATTACCATATGATTAAGGTTGAGGATCTACTAACCAAAGTCAACCAGTGAGGATGCAGTGCATGTTCTTAGGGCAATCTCCTAAAACCTATCATCATTCTCTACCAAAATGTGTGGATGACTGCCACCCTCAGAGATACTTACAGCTAACTTTCACTTTTTTATACAATACCAAGAGGACACAGGATGGAAACATCCACTAGGATGTGCTTCTCCTTGCTTTCTGTACAGAAAATATTAAATGGGTTCATTCTATGGTACCTGAGTTAGATTGATTGGTATGGTACAACCTTCTTCAAGAGAAACTACTTAATTTACATTTTCCCTAACCACAAGACACTGAACTAAATAAGACTTGAAAAATTCAGGGGGAAAAAAAAAATAGAATGCCCTTGCTGCACAACTCACCTTCTACCCTGATGAACCTTTACTTGCAGTTTAGGCAGTAGCAAAAAAGGACAGTGTGCAGACTTCCTTATATAAACTGTAGAGAACATTTGGAAGAAACAAAATTGACAAGTGCTGTAGAGATTGCTCAGTGGTTAAGAGCACTTGTTGCTCTTTCAGAGAACCCAGGTTCAGTTGCCAGCAATATCTGTAACTCTAGTTCCAGGAAATCTAATGCCCTCTTCTGGCCTTGGTGAGCATCAGGCACACACATGGTACAAATATACACACCCAAGCAAAACACTAATATGCATAAAATAAAAATAACTAAAACATCACTGGATATAGTTGTGTGCATCTTAGGAGGCAGAGCAGGGGGTTCTCTATGAAGTCTAAGCTAGTCTGATCTACATAGCAAATTCCAAGATAGCCAGGCCTACATAGTAAGGCCCTATCTGGAATGAATGAATGAATGAATGAATGAATGAATGAATGAATGAATGAATGAATGAATGAGTGAGTAAATAAACAATGAAATATTTTAAATGCTACTATAGGCCCATTTGCATATACACATTTTAGTAAAGATATACTTTCATTTTTCTAGGGTAAATACCCAAAAGTGGAATTCTAGCTAATAGAAGAACTACCAAACTTCTTGATAGTTTGCATTTCTACAAGCAGTATGGGAAATATTGTTCAGCACTCATGTCATCCTTTTAATTTTAGCTGCTTGTGTCAATCACTCTGGGTACCATGAGAAAATGTGGGGTATTCACACAACTGAAAACAAACAATTCCTTTTGGTTTGTCTTTTTTTTTTTTTTTTTTTTTTTTTGAGACTAGGTCTCATCTATCCCAAACTGCCTATGAACTTTCTATGTAGCAGGGATGACCCTGAACTCCTGTTCCTCCTGTATCTACCACCTTCTATGGCCTGGAATTACATGTGAGCTTCACCACATCCAATATAGAGGTGCTGGGGATTGACCCTAGCTCTTATCCATGTTTGGCAAGCACTCTACCAACTGAGCCACATATCTCCTTTGGGTCACAGTTTCAGTTTGTGAACTGGTTCCGTTCCGGGCCTACTATGAGGCAGTAAATCTCGGCAGAACAGCATAGTGGAACAAAGCAGTTTACCTCATGGTGACCAGGAAGGAGAAAGGGGAAAAGCCACTGACATTATATACTCTTCAAAGTACACCCTCAGTGAAGGACTTCCTTCATCCAGGCCTATCTCCTAATAGTTCATTCAGGTAGTAACTCATCAATGAAATTAATCTACTTATCCCACGATCCAATTATCTACTTCTCAACAAAAAACACTAATTGGGTCCCAAGCCCGAAAAAAGGCAACGCTTTATATCCCAATCATAATACTTATTATAACAAGTATGAAATGATATTTTGGGGTTCCTAAAAGTATACAAATTGGTCTATGCTAGTATCACTTTATACTTCAGAAAGTCTAGAAGTAGTAAAAGTATATAATGAATAAAGCTTGCCAGTTTCCTCTGACCAAAAACAAGGAAGGGACTAGAGAAATGACTCAGCAATTAAGAATAGTTGTTGGATCTGACAGAAGGCCAGAGGTAAATTCCCAGCATCTATGTTGGGCAGGTCACAAAAATCTACTGTAATGCATGTACGCATGCACACCTGTGCACACACACACACACACATGCGGACACACACACACACACACACACAGACACAGACACACACACACACACACACACACACACACACACACACACACACACACGCCACAAATGGGTAGAGGGTGTTTATAAACAAAGACAGAAACCTGAGGCCCAGAACTTATGACCTTTGCTTCTCTGGCTATTCGTTTTAATTACCAGAGCATGATCAAATAAGTCCTGGACCCTCTTTAAATAAGACAGGATAAAACTGTAAAAATAATGTCCCACATTGATACAGAAGTGGCAGGAACTATTAGGAAGAATTGGGATCCATCAATAGGTATTCAGGCTCTAAAAGTCACATATTTGGACCTTAATGTCTTAGCAGTACAGACGTTTCTTGAGTACTGTACTAATAAGGGGGGGGGGGACTTTTCTTCTAGATTTGATTGTCCATACATTTTTCCTGTTTTACCTGAACAATCCAGTTTTGGCAGCATTTGTTGCCACCATCACTATGTCTCTGAAGCATGTGGGCATACCATTCTGCTGTCTAGTCAAACGTACCTTTAAACCTGATTTACCAGAATCAATGCTAGCAAATATTTCCTTTCCATTTGATCAAGGAAAAGTGAACTTATCTGACTGGTGTGAAGAACAGGAACTAAGCATGACTTCTGTCCTTAGGAACTAACTTCTCTTACCTGTGGAGAGGCAGACTTTTGCTACGCTCACCCAATGCAACACTATAATTGAAGCTGGGTGGACTCCAGACACCACGTAAGATTATATGCTCTTTTAGAGATAAGAACAAAGTGTAAGCAGACCCTTCTGTCAGAAGCCAGACTGCCAGTCTTCCAATGGAGTTCTCATCAGTGTTGAAGCAAACATTTTGAGTGCTGTGGGGGAGATTTCTACATTTGTTTTTTTCAATTGGATTTGTAGTAAGGATAGAACAGGATGCTATTTATGAACCCAGGAATATTTTACTAAAAAAATATGTATTTGTAATCATGACTTCTAGATATTGTTTGCTATATAAATAATTATATAGAAAATCTCTTGTCTTATTTGGAGGGTTTCTAAAGTATTAATTACAACAGGACTGTGTTTTTCTTTTTTTAATGCAGCCCTTTAAGAACCTTTATATGGAAAGCAATAAAATCAATACCTTAGCAAAGAACTGTGGAATTTCTCAACACCATCTTGATCCCATGCTTCCCTGACACACTCCCTTAGCTGCTTCCCTACAACTCCACAGTTATTTTTACAAAAACCCGGGGTACAGTAACAAAAACCTTGTACTCAAAATTATTTTTGTGAGTAAACAGCTATTCTCCTCATGGAGTGTAAACCACCTCTCTTACTTGGGGGGGGGGGATAAAAAAGCCAATTGAGGCCCACAGAGATGTGCCAGTCTTCTTAGGTTATGTCACCGGGAGAAGAGAGTACTCTGTAAAGTAATTCTAATTTACTCAGCATCCCAAAGCAGTTTGTGAGTGTGAATTCTCACCATGCAAGGTGTGCTCCGCCCCTAACACATTCCATTCCTCTGGTAGTTTCAGGTGTCTGAATGCCAGTGCAACCCTCTCATCAAGAGAGTTGACATCTCCAGAAGGGGGTCCTGACCGAGCAAGGAAACGAGTGAAGTTCAGAGCCTGCTGATTGCCAGCACTGGTTGCCAGGAACTGAGCTGCATCATACGCCTCATCCTGAACGAAATGGAAGTTGTCTTCGGCTACTACAAACACGGGCAGGCCCCCTCTGGAAGCACAGAGCAGCACCTTCACCGTCTCACAGCAGTCATGACCTAAAGAAAGCACAGGCAGTAAAGAAAACTGAGTTGACTGATGAAAGAAGAACTCTACTGGGTCCCTTCAGCTTTCTTCATGGCACACAAGATTTCTCCTCCTAAAAGAAAACCATTCTCTTCCAATTTCATAAAATTCCATTTTTTATTTTCTTACTGTTATTTGCAAATATCAATGATATATTTAGCAAATGGTGCTTGATCATAAATTCCTACTTTCATCATCCTGGTAATACACAACAGGCTATATCAACGGGTGCTGTTACATTTGAACAAACTACTACAGTTTAGGATCTTATCAGGTCCAGCATGCAACAAGCAGTCTAATGCTTACTGAACTGAGACATCTGAAATAACAACAGGAAGAACAAGGATGTGGGAGGAGCACAGACAGCCCTGGATTACCATACAGTAAATCAAGACTGTAAAATGGTTAAAAGGATAAGCTTTCATGCAAGTCAAGGTCCAAAAGTTACATAAGAATGGTTGCTCCCAGACACTTCCTATCTGTCCCAAACACTAAAGCAATAAGCATGCCAATCAAATCACTTGCTTCAAATAAATATGATGCACTGCTGTGGCAACAAGCCCAACTCAGAAAAGGCAAACATGAAGCGGACTGTGCTTCCCACTATACAGATCAGCAGGCAACACATAGCCCAAGGCTAAACAGCTACACACTACTGCAAGCTCCACCAGAGCCAGACTTCTAGGACAAAGCAGCACAAAGTTTCTGTGGAATATGTATTCTTGCAGAACACACTTTCTTACTTTTTCAGAATTAAGTATTTCCAACATGGAGATTATATTTAACAAAGCACTCATTGCTTTTTGTCAATTTTCTAACACTGATCTCAAATAGCTATTATATTCTGCTCCTACCATCGACACTTTGAAGGAGAGAGGAAAAGAGAAAATAAATTTTTATATACCTAAAAAGAATACGTTGTTTTTTCATTTATTTTTTCCAGAATCTTCCTTACACCTTTACCTTTGTGACACAACACAGCAAGTCTATGTTAGTAAAATGTGCTTAGTAATCAAATAACTACTATATACTGGGTATTTGTTATATCATTTTCTCTATGTAACAATTTTATGATTACGAAGTGTTCAAGGAATGAAATAGTATGCTTAAGGTTCATAGATACTACAAAGTAGAATTCATTATTTTACAGTCAAAGCTGATGCAAAAGGACATGGGCCTATTTCATTTGTGCCAAATGCTGTAAACAGAGGAGAGAGAATACCACCAGGTGAGCCACTGCCTGGAGGAGCTGAACACTCAGATGACAGTCAGTATACCTAACAGTGATGTTATCAACAATGATGGATACAAACTGAATTCTACCTTCAAACTTTAAACTTGTGCCATAGAGAAGATACTGTATGAACTTAAAACAGAAAACCCAATGCTCTTAACCCATGCAAACAGACCTTATTCTTTCTTGCTAATCTCTTTCCCCAAACTTTTGCACAGATAAAAACCTGAAAATTTGAATCCAAAAGCTGATGGTACTAGAAGTAAACATAATATATTGGTCTATATACTCTCCTTTTGTATGTACACACATATACACAAACCAAACAATTATGATAAAATAACAGTACTATAGTCAAAGATTTCTGTATGCATATAACTCTATGTATGGCTGACAAAATAACTGCTCACTTGTGCAGAAAGAAGCAAAGGCAGAGAGAGATAGGGTAACCAAGGAGGGAGGAGACAAGGGGGAAGGGATGGAGGAAAGAGGGGAGGAAGGTAAGATGGGGGAAGGAGGAAGGTAAGTTGTGGGGAGAAATGGAGGGAGGAATTGATTAAGCAGCACTATTATGTTCATCTCTACTGGACTGACAGAAGAACCCATGAGTAGGTAAAAGAGTGTACAAATAAGCCATTGCAAGCTCTACTTGTGAAAAGCTAAAATGAGTTTATGAAATTTCAGATATGGGCTCAAGGGAAAACTGAGATGGACTGTTGTGGTAAGTTTACAGCAAGAGTTATTAATGCTATAGACAGATAGATGCCTAGACAAGAGCATGATTGGAGTTCTGAAGAGAGGAATCCTCTCTTTCTATAGGTCCTTTCCTATAGTTCTCAAATGTTAGGTCATCTTAGGTCAAGGTATGTTGTCTGGAAAAGTTATCTACTTTGCTTTCGCACATAAATCCACAATCTGAAGAATAAATTATTAATCAGAGTAAGTAAAATATGCCATAAATCTGAAAATTGAAATTATTTGAAAAACAAACTAAAGATTAAAGGTGGAAAGGGAATGTTTCTTGGGTTAAGTTCTCGTTAGAGTCTATTGGAAGAGTTACTACAAATCAAAAACAAAAGGCTGTGTTGCAGAATTGGTTAAGAGGTTAAGAAGAGCACTGGCTGCTCTTGCAGAGGGCCCAGATTTGGTTCCCAGCACCCATACAGTGACTCACAACCATCCATAACCTTAATTCAGGGGACTAGACACCCTCTTCTGACTTCCTGTAGCATGAATGAGAATAGCCTCTGATGACTTGTACATTGGAATGCTTAGCTCCCAGTTGGTGGAACTGTTTAAATAGTAGTAGGAGGTGTGGCCTTATTGGAGAAGGTATGTCACTGGTGGTGTGCTTTGTGGTTTCAAAAGTCCACACCATTCCCAATGCGCTCTCACCCCTCTCCCCCCCCCCCCGCTTGTGAATCAAATGTGAGCTCTAAGCAACTGCTTCAGGACCATTGACTGCCTGCTCGATGCCATGTTCCTTGCCATGATGTGAAATGGACTCATAAGAAACTGTAAGCCCCCAATAAACTCTTTCTTCTATAAGTTACCTTGGTCATGGTTTCATATCATAGCAATCGAAAAGTAACTAAGACAAAAGTTGGTATCAAGGAGTGGGGCTATTACTGTGACAGGCCTGACCATGCTGGTTTTTGAAGGAATGTGGAAGACATTGGGATTTTGGACCAGAAAGAAGTAACACTGTAAGCAGTGTTTAACAGGGCATTCTGGTAAGAGCTTGGAAGGCAATCGTGCTGAGAGCAATGTAGGCTATGGAGGCCCAGCTAGAGAGGTTCCAGGAGAATATCAGCAACTGGGCTAGAGACCAGTTTTGTGATATTTTGGCAAAGAATGTAGGTGCTTTCTTGCTCTTGTCCTAGAATCTGGCTGAGGCTAAAGTAAAGAGTTTGGGGGCTAATTTCATTGGCAGAGGAGATTTGAAGGCAGCCTAATATTGAGTCCGTTGCATGTTATTAAGCAGACCTACAATGAAAATGACCAAGGAGGCAAAAAGAAATACAAAATATACAGTCTGAGGAGAAAAAGAACATTAAGAGATGTAACATTGGAACCAAGACTTGTGATGAAAGAGGTAAGGAAAGGCCTAATGTGAAATGGAATAAAGGGAGTGGTGCCCTTAGGGCAACACTGGACTCTAGCTAAACTTCCAACAAGTAAAGGCACGAAGAATTATCTATTCTTAAAAAGTATAGCAAAGTAAGCCAGGTGGTGGTGGCACAAGCCTTTAATCCTAGCACTCGGAGGCAGATCTTTGTGAGTTCGAAGCCAGCCTGGGCTACAGTGTGAGTGCCAGGACAGGCTCCAAAGCTACACTGATAAATCCTGTCTGGAAAAAAACAAAAAAAGAAGAAGAGGGGGGCGGGGGAAAACGGTACAGCAAAGCTTATGAAATGGTATTGAAAGAGGCAGCTATGGCCCATCCCAAGCAAGCAATCTAATTTGGTAGCATTATGGCTTTAGAGTAAGAAGGATACATGGTAAAAGGGCTGTAGAATCCTCTTCCATTATCTGGCTGGGGGGTGGAGGGGGGTAGAAGCCCTGAAAAACCATTCCATGAAGCTGTGAAAAAGAAGCCTGGATTACACTGGAGACCTCAGGACACACCATGGGATGTCAACCAGAAAGAGCTGCATACAGGAAGTAGAACCAGTCCAAGAGAGAAGTGTGTTGCAGTCAGCAAAGTCTGAAGGATGGTGCCATCTAAGCTTTGACATCACACAGTGACCTACAGGATTTGAGAGTTTGTCCCACTGGGTTTCAGTCTTACTTTGGTCCAGTTTTTTTCTCACTATACCTCCAATCCTCCCTTTTGAAATGGTGATGTGCCACTATATATCATTAGCATGTAATTTGATCTTTTTTTAATTTCGGTTTTATAGGGGTTTACAGTGAAGAGACTGTGTTGAGTATCAGAAGAGACTTTAGACTTTGAAATAACATTGAGACTGTGAAAGATTATCTGGATTTTCCAAGGAAGACTAAATACATTTTGCATTATGGTATGATCACAAGCCTATAGTGGTCAGGGGGTGGAATATAGTGGTCTGAATGAGAATGGTCCCTGTAAGCTCATATGATTGAATGTGTGGTTCTCAGTAGGTGGGACTGTTTGGGAAGGATTTGGCAGAGTAGCCATATTGGAAGAGATGTATCACTGGGGTCAGCTTTTGAGGTTTCAAAACCCTATGCCATTCCTAGTTAGCTCTCTCTCTCTCTCTCTCTCTCTCTCTCTCTCTCTCTCTCTCTCTCTCTCTCTGCCTCCTCCTTGTGGATCAAAATGTGAGCTCTCTGCTAGTGCTTGAGCACCCTGTCTACCTGTCTGCTACCATGCTCCCCTCCATGATAATCATGGACTCAACTCTGAAACCGCAAGCACTGAATAAACTCTTTCTTCTCTAAGTTGGCCTTGGCCGTAATGCTCTGCCACAGTAATTGAATAGTAACTAAGACATCTCCATTGGCACACAAGTGGTACACACATAACGCAGGCAAACAATCATATACATAAAACAAATCCTAAAAAAAACAAACAAACAAACAAACAAAAAAAACTAAGTACCTGTCTCACCGAGTGTGTGGTCAAAACACTTAAGATTGGCAGTTACACTATCAGGCTAAAGACTGATTTTTAACAGCTATACCTTTTCAAATAAAACATGAAGAGTTAAGGAGTCATCTCTCTCCTCTCTCTCTCTCTCTCTCTCTCTCTCTCTC